ACAATCCACCAAGAGCTATAAACCCTTTATACTTGTTCCAAATATCATATTCAAGATTAGAAAATTGAATCATAATAATTACATTGAGTCTACTGTGTAATAACAAATTTAAGTTCAACGTGTTAAACATATTTCTCATCATTTTAATGTAAGTAACCTAAAAACAAAGATAAATATTAATTAAAATATTTAATAGAATTTAATAAATATGGATAACTGCGTATTGTATGCGTGTATTATGCGTACTCTATGTGTTCATTGTGCGTGTATAATGCATACGATATGCGTGTTTTGTGCGTGCGTAATGCGTATTCTTTAAAAACATTCAAATAAAAATTATAACATTAAAAAAATATTTATAAAATTATTTTTATCATTAAAATAAATAAGAAATTGAAACACTAATTTTTAAACGCAAATGCCAAACACAAACCCTTTCAAACATCATATTATGCGTAGTTTATGCCTATGATCTGCTTACAATATGCGTATAATCATTAAATAAGTTTTTTTTAATCAAATCAATGTAAATAACATGCGAATATTGAGAAATAAACATTTATACACGAGCACAGGTGAATATTGAGAAATAAACATTTATACACAAGCAAAGATACACAAGCGAATATCCAAAATATATTCTTCAGAAATAAACATTTATGCACAATAGAATATTCAGATGTTTTATACACAACTGTTATTTTACCAATGTTTTACAAAATATTTCATATGCAAATTCTGCCCTATACTTTGGCATGTCTTCTTGCCAACTAGTACTATCTTTCCAATCAGTGTTGCCTTCAAGACTTATCCTTTTCATATATTTGCAGACATACATTCGTCAATCTACAGAGTTCTTCTATTTTGGCACACCTTTAATGATAAAAAGCTTCAATTTTCTGATATCACTATTAAAAGCTCCTTTCGTGTCAGAATATAAAGCTTTAATCTGAAAAATACGTAGAGCAAGGATTAGTTGTATAAATTTTTTAAAAATTGAAGAGTTCATGACTTCATGTTCATCTAACACTTACGATTTTTGGAATAAGAAGCCTATGCTCTTTGACGCGGTGTGACAATGAGTCATAAAATTTTCACCTTTCTTCTTTCAGCAAACCAACCAGAAGGGTCTAGTGCGAGGATTCAATGATTGACTGTAATAAAATGTTATTTGAAGTAACAAAAAGTTCAGTTATATGGTCGATTTGAAATTTGGATAATTTTTCCCTTCCTTTGTTATTCTGCAATTGCAAGTAGTAAATGTAAGAAATGGAAAAGAAATATTAAAACTTGCATTAAGCCATTAACTATAGTTTAACTGATTAATTGAATACTAAGTTACTAACTAATAGACTGGAGAGATGTATATAAATTTATGGTACTTGTCAGGTATAAGGTTACACTTCTCATTTAACAAAAGGGCAAAAATATCTACATATTCATATTGCCTAAATAACTGCCGGTTAATAACTCATCAATGTCAGCTCTAGAAATAAGAAGGTTACTAACAAGACACTATCGTCCATGCAAAAAAAAAAAAAAATTAAATACGCATTTCATAAGCATACCATACGCACAACATACGTGTATCATAAGCATACAATACGCTTATAATACGCATAAGATACGCGTATCATAAGCATACCATACGCATAACTCACGCATACCATACACATACAAATATTCAAATATAAAATAAGTTGCATTTTTTTTTACCTTTGATTGAACTTCTTCAAATATTCATGCACAAAATTTCTCTTCTCAGAACTCAAACTCAGAAGACCTTTATAATTTTTTATTTCATTTGCAGAAACAAGAGTTACAGGATTTATATGAATGTCATCTACTGGTATTGGTTGATTTGGATTTGTATATGGAATAAGTTGCATTTCTGCTAGGATTGACTCATTTAGGGGGATTGGCTCATTTAGAGGGATTGACTCATTTTGGAGGATTGACTCATTGGGGCTGGGGGGAAGGATATATGATTTATATTTCTTATTGGAAGATGAAGAGTAGCTAACAGATCTTTTATGAGGAAAAAATTTGCTCTAATGTGATTATTGAGCTTGACCTCAATAACTTCAACTCTTTCAATTAGGTCTTCAAACTTTGAGCTCAGCCTACCTTCAAATTCAAGAAAAAGTTTTGTGCATGTTTCTTGGTAGGATTTGATAATTCTTTCTTGAAGAGATTCCAGTCCTTTAGCAGAAAAATTAAAGTGTGGTTGCTGAGGAGATTGGTGGGGGTCTTGCTGAGGAGGTGGGGTATGATGGGGAGATTGGGGGGGAGGGTTTGATGAGGGGAATCAGGGGATGGAGGGCTGTCTGATAGATATTTCTTGACATTAACCATATCAATTTCAGTTTGGGAAACTCCTTGGAGGACATTATAAATCTGACTTTTCCTTATATTAACAAATAAGTTAGTGACCACCTCTGTAGTATATACAATATCATCGGCCCATCATAAAAAATGGGGCCTTTTGTCAGCATACATAGGAGCATGAAAAAAAGTATACTCCAGGAACCAAATATGCATAAGATGAAGGAAAATTTTAGCAAATGACAAAAAATCTTAGGACTCACATTGAGGCATTGAGCCAGTAAAGTTTCAAATGAATTTAGCAGCTAGCACTTAGCACTCACAATTAGCAGAGGTACAAAATCATTGATGTAACCTGCTGACTTCTTATTTGAAATCTTGAAGGAGGCCTTATTAAACTCTCCAACTAAAAATTCCCTAATTGAACCAGCCCAGTTTATTGACCAAAAATCATCTGGATTATTTGCTATTCTTTGCAGCAACCGAGGGATTTTAAAGTTGTTAAGTTGAAATAACAAATTTGAACATGAATACATGATAAACGTTCTTAACGTAGTCTCCGGGGGGGGGGGGGGAGGGGGGTTGCTTGTCGGGTGGGTGGGGGGGGGAGGGGGGTTGCTTGTTTAACTCCAGCATGTCTGTCTTAATTTCCAATGATGTAACCGAAGTATGTGCTAAAGAAAGCCATGATATTTCTTCTCCTTTATTTGGCAGACCAGTAAGAAGGGTCACTTCATCAGCAGTGAAAGGAATGTGTTGACTTTTTAGAACAAATCATTGCTTTGAAATGTTTCACCTTGAGATCAGCTCATAAATAAGAGGGACATTTTGTTCAAACCTAGAAAATTTCAAAAACTGTATGATCTTTAAACGTTTCAATGTGTCCACGACTTCAGGAGTAATTTGCTGAGCAAAGTTATCACAGATTGTTCGAAACGTAGAAACATAGCATCGATAGGTAATTGGACGAACATATATCTGAAAATTAAAAAAAATAAAAACATAAAAAATAAGTAAATGAGATACGCAAAATAAAATGCACAACATACGCACAATATAAGCAACGATCACGCACAGTGTACGCATAACATACACATATATTACGCACAGCATAACACAAGAACGCACAGTGCAGAAAACATGCCAGCAAATTATACACACGCATAAAGTACGCACATCATAAGCAAAGATCACGCACAGTATAAGCATAACATACGTACAAGAACGCATTGAGTACACACAACATACGCATTGAGTACTCGGTGCTTAAAATTTAGTTAGGGTTTATGTTTCAAATTTCAACATAAATTCATAAACCCTAAATACAAAGAAAACACAATGACATCAGAGTATCAAACATTTAAAAAGTTTCGATAAGTAATGCATACGCATAGAGTAAGCATAAAATACAAAGAACTTGAACACCAACACATAGCATAACCATAAAATATGCAGTACTGAACATAAAATATGGCATTAAGTTACCTTTCTCTTTGGGGGTGACGACATCTGAGAAGGAACTGAGTGAATAATGCTGGAAATTGCTCCGGAGTGAATGCTCGAAAGTTGGAATGTTTGCTGGAACTTGAAAATCGAAACGTCGCCTCTGCCATTCTAGACCTTTACCAGGGTTTAAATGTTGATGCCGAAACGTCGCCTCTGCCATTTGACCTTTACCAGGGTTTAAATGTTGATGCCACGTCGACATCTCCCTAGGTGCGCCACGTCGGCAACTGGGGGTCCGAACTGAAAAAAAAAACTTTAGGTTAATTTTTTTAGAGGCGGCGCCTTAAATATGTGAGGCGAGACGCACCTTATGGCGCGCCTCAGTAAACTTGAGGCGTAAGCCTCAGAACCTGAACTTATTGCGTGGGCTTTGAGGCTTAAAGAGACCATATTGCGCTGAGGCGCGCCTTGATTGCGCAATTTTAAACCATGACGTGTACTCTTATTAATGATTTGATTGGAGGTTGTTTGATCATTTAAGTGACGCGTCGTGCCTGCTAACCGTTGCTTAAGTTGCCAAATTCGCCTCTTTTGCTCGTGCTTATTTGACATACTTGTGGAGGTCAACCATTTTATTCCACTTACATAATTAATTAATTTCATTTAGTTACTTATGTGAATTACTATTCCTTAAGCATTTGAAACAAAAAATAAAAATATTTATGTCCTACAAAATACAACTACACAATACAACAACAAACAACAACATCAAGTCTTTATCCCACTATCTTTCAGATCTTAAGTGTTATTTGCATTGTTGGATTCATCTCATTAAATCAAACTCAAACATGCTGAAATTTCAGGCTTAAATAATTGGGTTTTTTGAGCCTAAAAAAATTGAGTTCAAATTCATGTTTGTTCAGACGAATTTTTGTTGGTTTAGACATCAGTTGTTACTCAAATGTCCCATCTTACTAGGAAAAAAAAAAAAAACTCAATTTCTCTATAACGAAGCTAGAAATTAAAACTATCTTTTGCCATATTTCTTATCTAGCTAAATCAATGTATGAAAAAAAAAATTCAATTAAATTCGTTTGCCATCTCCATGTCCCTGCCTTTTTTATTTTATTCTCTCAATTCATTCAAACCTAACAGAACCATTGGCATGCAATATCTTCATCTCTGAACCTACATCTTACTCAGTGTATTTAAATTGGTATTTGATGCAGGCGTTGAAATATATTGTGCTCCCACAGCTGATGCCAGGGAGGTATGGCAGGCGTCAATGACGCATATTGCACTTGAGGGTGGATGCTTTGTTCTCTCAGCAAATCAGTTCTGCCGCAGGAAAGACTATCCACCACCACCTGATTATGAATTTTCCGGTGCTGAAGAGGAACCCTCTCCCAATTCTGTAGTGTGCGCTGGAGGGAGCGTCATTATATCACCATCCGGAATGGTCTTGGCAGGTCCAAATTATGAAGGAGAGGCCCTTATAACTGCTGACCTTGGTATATTTATGTACTGCTTTCCATGTTTCTAGGGGTGTCAATATTTGGACCCGACCCGAAAATTTTGGGTTTGGGTTGACCCGAACCTGAAATGGGTTGACCCGAACCCGAAATAGGTCGGGTTCGGATTCAACAATTCGCCCGTTTAAAAAATTGAGTCGGGTTCGGGTTGACCCGTTGACCCGAAAATGACCCGTTTTTTACCCGGCAACCTGAGATTGACCCGTTTTTTTACCCAAAAAGCGAAGTTGACCCGTTTTTGGACCCGAAAACTAGCAATTTTTTGTCCGACCCAGGTCGGGTCAGGTTGACCCGGACCCAAAGCGGGTGGTGTTCGGGCCCGGAAAACCGACCCGTTTGCAGAAATGGGTCGGGTTCGGGTTGACCCAAATAGTGCCGGGTCAATTTTGGGTTCAACCCGAACCCGACCCGTGACCTTTCTATCGTATTACTAGATTTGTTCTTTCATCATTTGAACCATGAGTTGCAGATCTTTTTTTTTTTTTAATTATTATTATTATTATTAATGAATTGCAGATCTTGGAGAGATAGTTCGAGCTAAGTTTGATTTCGATGTGGTTGGGCATTACTCTAGGCCTGAGGTGCTGAGCCTGACGGTGAAAGACCATCCCCAGCATCCCGTTTTCTTCACCTATGCTGCCAATAAGGAAAGCGAACAGAAATCATAGTGAGCTCTTGTGAATTCCCGTCCGATTTTTCTGTAAGAAGCCACTGGAAATTATCTACTATCTTTAGTTGACTTGTACATTTAATCTTGAGCCTGATTATCCTCTGATGATGGGAAATGCTGAAGCTTCTGATCATTTGAGATTGTACAATACGATTGAGCTTGTTGAATTGTTTCTGTTAGATGTCAAGTTGGCTTGCTATCTTTTAACTTGGAAAAGCAAAAAAGCAAGCAAAGTTTTTTTTTTTTTAACCTACATGTACCTTCGGACTTCCCTTCAAAATAATGTTTAGTTTCTGGCCTAATGTGGCAGTAAAGAAGAAGAGAGTATCACTATTTTTTAATAGCTTCCAGCTTTGGGCCCTGCCTGAAGTGCTTACAAGGGTCGTGTTAATTAAATTTAAACTGTGGCTTAGTTTGGTATAGCTTTTTTATTATTTTCGAAAGTAATTCTTTAGTGTGAAAATTATTTGATTTTTTTTTTTTACTAAAAAGTTGTTTTTAGAAAGTAATAAGAAAATTGTTTCAAATGAAGCTCAAGTGTTTAACCTTTATTTTTTGGTTTCCTCAAATGAATGGTAGGCATAGTTACTGAAGTTTTTTGAACGTCTAATCATCACGAACTGAAATAATTCTTTTAAAAACATTACCTGCAACGATATTTGTCCCTACTAGCAAGCAAACTCAAGAGATTGGAATTGAGAGCTTGTGGTGAGTATAACAAATAAAAGTAGGATATTTTTAGGTGTTTTGAGAGAATGCCAAGTAAATGCTTCAATAGATCAAAAAGGCTTCAAAGGTATTGTAAAAGAATCAAAATGTGTCTCGTCATAATTTACTTATAGAGATTTTATAGCTAGAAGAAATGTTATATAAAATAATAATTATAATAATAAATAAATAAGGTTTGAGTACAACAACTCTTGAGACTTGTTACGATCTCATAGATGCCAAGTGTGATTATTCTCTTAGAGACCAACGTTCAACTTTGAAGTAAGTTCCGTTTTAACGAATTATTGTGGGCAAGTTGATGAAGGCAAGTTCTCAGATGGATCAAGCGGGAAAGACTAATATCAATGGGGTTGTGAACTTCAGTTGTTCTAGTGTGAAGGGCGAAACCAATTGAACTGTGGGGTTGTGAACTTAATGGTTGGTTAATCATGAATAACCATATTTGTGTCCTCCTTGGAGCAAATCTTCCCGGTAGTTGAATTGATCAATTCCATTGGTAGATTGTCGATTGGGGTGATGATGAGTTTCTTTAGGAGTGTGACTCATGCTGAGGAGATGAGTTCACCAACTCTCAAGAGTCTTGTGTGAACCCTTGAAGTTCACCTTGGAGTTGATCTTCTTAGGTTGCTTTGTCAAGTTGGGTCTTTAAGCTATCAAGTAGCTTTTGTTGAAAGTAACCATTATTGGTCAAGTCTTCATTGTTAGGGTTTACCGAGTTAGGATTCTTTTGTTGAATCCTGTTAAATACCTATGAGCCACTTGAGAAGTCATATACAAGTATACATTTAGTTCCCCAAATTCATTTTACCCTTTAGAGAGAGTTGCAAAAATAACAAGTGAATTAAAGCTGGACATTTATTAAATCTACCGAGAAATTATAAAGTTATTAAAAAGAAAAATAATTACAAAGTTATTGCCCTATTTTTAGGGTAGCATAAGACACCATACTAATTCCTCATGTTGAAATTATAGGATGTCACTTAATCCCTTCTCCTTTAAGCAGAGATCCAATGCATGATGCTCTTACACCTTTAATATCTTGTTGAGAACTTGCCTATTCCGAGGAAGTGAGAATGAACCCAACTAAGTTAATCATGTTGAGTGCCAAACTATTGAGGATAGGGGTAATTCATATTTCAAGGGTGAGATGATTGAATGATTCCTTTACCCCAAGAAAGCAAGGAAAATGTAGCCAGGCAAGTCTCCAAACTATTCGAAGGATCCACCAAGCCTACCCCATCCCCTTATATGAAGAAAATGTAGGTTGAGCATGAAACTATGGTGCTACTGATTAAGATCATGGACCCATCAAAGCTTGCCACTAGAGTAGAGGTAGGGAAGAGCTCGATAAGAGTGGCACTCTTTTCGAGTTTTTAGGGCATCCTTTTGATTGAGGGATGGCAAGGTAACTTCATGTTAGGTGTTAAGTTGAGATAGTGTCTTGAATTGCTGAGGGGTATTCTTCCTCTCTTCAAATATTTGAGTTTGATTGATCCAACAAATTGGACAACTATTCTCCATCTGCATGTATTCCCCTTCTTGGATGGCTGGTCAGGTAATTCTCAAGGTGGATCACTTGTGAGGATGGTCTTATTTTGAAAGCAAGTCAACAAGTTGATTATGCTCCCTAGGGATCTATATTATTTTGAAGTAGGAGAGTTTAATGATTTTTGCCTTCCCTTTAAAGATGTAATTTATCAGCATCTCATCACACCCTTCATACTCTCTATTAATTTTACATAACATCAATTGAAAAATGGAATAGTCTACTAACTGTGTGGCATATCCATATGCGAGTTACAGTTCAGTGAGTAGGAATTCATACTATAAACCCTGTGTTGGCCACCTATTTGATTTTTATTTTAGCTGTACTCTTCAAAGCCATATTATCACTACCCAGTCTAATATAACTCACAGACATAATAGGTCATATAGTGTTGGATGGTGACAGACCAAACCGAAGATATATTGTGAATAATTTTTTTTAGATTTCTTTAAAATATCAACTGATAGCAGAGCTACTAATGTGATGATGATAAGGCGATTTGACGGCCTGAATATATAATTAGACACACATATCTAACAATAATAATAATCACATGAGGCAAATATGGCTTGATTTGGAGAGCAATTTGCTTTAATTCCCTAATACTTTTACCCACCTCCACCACCACTTAATCAGGGACCTTTCTATGAGTAGTGTGTATGTTGTTTATCTATTTTGTTATAGACTATTTGTACTTTTTTTTTGCTTTATGCCTTGTAGTGTATGGTTGTTCTAGTTTTCAGTTGTAGTTCATGTCTTTTTAGTGATGTCAAATGGGGGAGTAGGAAGTTGGTTGGTTTGCCTTCCTCTTCCTTATTAGTGCAGTTTTATTTTGTTTTCAGTTATTGCGTGTTTATTAATAAGGGGGAGAACTTAGGAGAAAAATGAAATTAACTTAAAATTCAACCAATAATTTTTGTCATCATAAAAAAAAAGAAGATTGTTGTAATCCGGGTGTCTGAGCTTATGTTTTGTTGATAACAAATATTATTACTCTTTATTTGGATTCTCCAATTTTATTATCGTATAAATATTTTTGTATAAACTTACATTTCAGGTACAACATCTCCAAGCACCACCAAAGGATTTAGGCTCAAGACTAGATAGAATAAAATAATATATGCAAAAATGTGTTCTTTTATCTTTTTGGAGTCTATGAATTATATTCAGTGCATGTTAGAATGACAATCGTGTGCACACATATGGGGGAATAAAACATAAGGCTTACATTTTTTTCTAAAGATTTTACTGGACAATTTGGATCATACTATATGATCTGTTCACTCAAACATTAATTAAAAAAATTATATTAAGAAAAATATTAAGATTAACTAATCATACTATACGATAGTAATTATATTGGACAATTAGTTTATATTAATAAATCCCTATCGCCAATTATAATTATGCAATATTTTAAATTTTAAAAATTTTTTATTCATATAGTACGATGCTAATCGTACCGTATAATATTTAAAATCTTGCCTAATTAAGTCCCTATGATTAAGAAATTGAATAAAAAAATTAAGTGTGCTTAGTGATCGTACTGTACGAAGTAAGGTTTGTACTATACGAACCAAGCAACAACCATGACTATAATTAATCGCCAAACTTCATATAGGACAAACTGATTATTCGATTGAACTAACATACTCTACTACCTTACGTTCATACTGGATGATCAATTAAAAACCTTTGAACTGGTCATTTAGGGAAATAGGCATAGTATAGTACTTAAGGGTGAATTTAACTAAATCGTACAGTACGATTCTTAGATCGTATTGTACAAATAGAGACTACTGAATTAAATTTTAGGGTTTTTTGTAGCTTGGTATTTAAATATTCCTTAATTCATTTAAGAGGGTCTTTTGTCAGTTTATCTTAGACAACTTTTCTATAAGTTAAGATTTGAAGAGAGAGCTTTGTTCTTAAGAGAGAAAGAGGTGAGATTTTTAGAGAGAAGAGTCATGTGAGATTAAGAAAGTGTGTGAGAGGGGATCTACACACGATTGCTCAATGAACATTCACCTTCTTCTTCCAAAAATCTTGCTTTGCATGATGGAAACTCCAGGAAGAGCCTCGTTGCATCAAAGGATCCAACAACTCCACTGCACTTGGTTAGTAAAAGGGATTCAACTATCCTCTGCACTGGGTTGGTGAAGGGATTCTTCTTCTCCACCGCATCGTAGAAGGACGGAAGAGATTGTGTAAAGGCTTCTCCGCCTTACTATGGGGGCAAAAGGAGAGTCACTAAAGAGTTAGTGAAATACTGAAAATGAGGACTCTGGAGAGTAGTTGTAGGTCAAGTTTTGACCGAACCACTTTAAAATTTCTAGTGAGTTTGTTCCATTTTTTTTAATACTTTATTTTCTATATTTTTAATTTCCTTCTCGTTACATTCTTGCAAATCTAGATTGATATTATTGTCATTATTTTGGATTAAAGTTTTGTGAGAAAAAAATAGAAATTAAAAAGAAGAAAAATATTTTTTATTCATTTTTATATATGATCAAAAGTAAAAAAAAAAAATTGTTTTTTTCTTAATTTGCTTTCGCTTGAGAAAATTTATTTTAAAAATTATCATTATGAGTTTCTTGAAAAAGAAATTTTTATTAAAAATAACAATTCACCCCCTTCTTGGCGTGCCTAGGGCAATTCAACTGGCTTAACAACCCTTGAATTTTCATTTAGGCCACAACTCACTATGGGATTTAAGTTTTTTGCATATGAGAATTTTAAGGGGATCTTGATATTTTATAAAATATTGGTTTGGCACTACTGCTCCGCAAATAGCATCACCCCAACACCCAACCTAGAGGCACATCATTTCCTCTATTTTCCTAAAAGTACAAAGTGCTCAATGCTGCAACATCGCCAACCCAGGTGCTGCAGCATTCCCAAGGGAAAGTTCTAGTTTTGATTTTAATGCATACAAACCCATGGGACCCACGTTAGAAATAAATTTATGCATTCACATGCATGCAAAATACTCAAACATATGTAAGATGAGGAGATAAAGAAATTGTATCAAATCACCCTTGTTAG